TCTCTCTCTCTCTCTCTCTCTCTCTCTCTCTCTCTCTCTCTCTCTCTGCTTCTTCTTTGCTCTCTGTTTGCTTCTGCTTCTCTTCTCTCTATGGCGACCAGCCATGGCGGTCAGCCATTAACCCTGTTTCTCTTCTCTTTTAGTCTCCCTACTCTGCCCAGCCTAATAATAAACTGGTTAATATGTCTCATCTTGCACCTCCTCTTTTCTTTATATCTAATTTAAACATAACACCTCTTCCTTTATCTTTCTCTCCACCAGACATAATCCACTTTTGACTTGGGGTAAGCCACCCATTTCCTAGTCACCACCTAAAGAGGTACAGGTCACCTCTTCCCAGTTCCAGGACCTTCGGGATCCCCTACCAAGCCACAGTTGTGCCAGGGTAAGCCCAATCTGTGCAGAGATGGTCTCTGTTTGAGGGGGGGCTTTGTGTAAGGAGATATCATTCCCAAAGGCTACCCCACCCCCACTGCTCCACCCCAGGCTATCTCGTGGGATGCTTTGCCCTAGAGTCTTCACTCCAGCACAGACTTGGAAATGAGCAATGCCAGGTCTAAACCTAATCCTCAGTCAGCCCTGAGGTGTCTGCTGTGAAATTTATCCAAATTGGGGCTGTCTCAGACCATACACCCAAAACCTTAGTCAGCCCTGAGGTGTCTGCTGTGAAATTTATCCAAATTGGGGCTGTCTCAGACCATACACCCAAAACCTTATGTCCAGGTTTATTTTGTTTTGGTTTTTCTTGCTGTTGTTACTGTTTGGTTTTGGGTTTTTTTAGATTTATTTATTTACTGTGTTGTCTTTGGTTTGCATGTTTGTCTACAGGCCACAAGAGGGCACCAGATGTCATTGCAGATGGTTGTGAGCCACCTTTTTTTCTTTGCATTGGTGCCAAAGATTAGGCTCTCCTGGTATTTGGTCTGGCCATGCTGGGATACTACCTGTCCCATTCCACCCAAACAGATCTGATCTCCCTGCTTGTTTCTGTCTGCTGTTCCACCCTACCACGGTAGGATCCTACCCACTCACTCCACCTGCAACAGATGCGCTCATTTGTTTCTGTCTGCTTTCCTACTCTAAACTTCATAAATGTCTGGTCTATACATTTGTTGCAATGTGGGAGTCAGAGCCAGAGAGGCCAGCTACTGTGTGCCCAGCACACACCTTTTCTCCCTTGCAGCATCTACCGATCTAATAAGACATACCAGCTCCTGGCAGGACCCCTGTCTCCCCCCAAAGAAAATGGATGGGTGCAGCACCAAGGCAATAGATTTTCTGTCCCCAAATAATAGGTTTCTCCACCAACAATCAAGCCAAATTGAAAAAGTATTACAGGTTTCTTTGAGCAAAGCAACTTGGTGTTTCTCTTTGTTCTGTATATTTAGTGTGTAACTATAACACAATAGGGAGAGTTTCTTTTTTGTCATGTCTATTTGGAGCTATATATGCTTTTATTTTTTTCTTTACTTCAATGGGCCTCTTTCCCTCTAGATTTTGGAATTTCTCTACTATAACTGTATTGAAAACATTTTCTATGCCTTTGACATGGAGTTCTTTGGAGGAAGAAAAAGCAGGGGAAAGAATAAGGAGAGAAGGCTCTTGCAGGGGGGTTACATGTGGGTGTAAAACGACAAAAGCAAGATAGAGTAAGAAGGGCTGAGCCAGGCTGCTAAATAATATCGGGTATTAAAGAGGGAAATTGCTGGGTAGAGATATAGGATATAAAAACTGACTGGCAGGGCTGAAGAGATGGCTCAGAGATCTGCTCTTCCAGAGGTCCTGAGTTCAATTCCCAGCAACCACATGGTAGCTCACAACCATCTATAATGAGATTGGGTTCCCTCTTCAGGCACGAACGCATACGTGAAGGCAGAATATTGTATACATTATAAATAAAATCTTTAAAAAAACATATCATCAGCACTGTCCAGTCCATGGGCAGTGCTTCACAAGAGAGACCATAGCTTTGCTCAAGCATGTTAATCCCCTCGGGGCTCTGGTCTTGATGGTACTTGGAGTCTGTGAAAGTTCTAGTGTATCCTTCAGGTGTCTCCAGGTTGTCAGCTTCCTGAAGGCTGGATCTTTTGTGGTATACTATTTGTCAGGCTCTAGCATGTAGCATTTTACTTATACTTATTTTCCTATGAGTGTGGCTCACAGAGGGTCTCAGGCTGTCCAACGGTGAGAGAAGATAGTAGATACTCCAGGTACCAGACCATATATTAAAAATGATATAAATAAGGGCTGACGAGATGGCTCAGCAGACAGACACCTGCTGCCAAGCCTGACAACCTGAGTTAGATCCCAAAACCCACATAGTAGAAGGAAGAGACTGACTCCCTCAAGTTGCCCTCTGGCCCCCATATGCTGTAGCATCCATCAATTCCACTCTAAATAAATAAATTAAAAATCATTTTTTAAAAAGAAAGTAAACCAAGATAAACACTTAAAGCATAAGACATTGTGGAACACTGAAATATTTTGAACTTCACATTTTATTGAAAATACATACTTTGAATCATATTTTTGGAAAAAAATTGATAAAATATCAAACTTTTTTTGACTTAAGTGTCATTTTGGTTTTGCCTACTCTAGATAAAGTAGCACCTTTTTCTTGATGACCTTTTTTACTTAAGCACACAGGCTGTGCTGTCTCCTGGTGATTGTCACTTGGAACACACTCACAACAGTTACACAGCGAAATAAGTGTCATTGTGCGTGTAATTTGCTGCCTCTTTCCCTCCCTGCCAAGAAGGAATCCACTTCAATGAATGCTTTTGCTCCTGCAGGAAATGTGCGGTTCCACTGACACTTGGTCAAACTCAGCAAAACATCTCTTCCTAAGTTGTTGTCATCTTTGTTTATTTGTTTTTTAGACATGGTTTCTTGTAGCCCAGGTTAGCCTAGAACTCACCATATAGCCAAGGGTGAACGTGAACTTCACCTGTGCCTCTCCAGCGCTGATTATAGAGGAGCCACCAAGCCTGGATTTATGTAGCTTTAAGGATGGAACCCAGGGTTCTGTATGCTGAATAAACACTTCAGCAGCTAACCTACATCTGTCTTTTTTTTTTAAAAAAATAATAATTTATTTTAATTTATGTGCATTGGTGTTTTGCCTGTGTGCATGTCTGTGTGAGGATGTTGGAAGCCCTGGAACTGGAGTTAAAGACAACAGTCTTAAGCTGCCATGTACGTGCTGGGAACTGAACCAGGGTCCTCTGAAAGAGCAGCCAGTGCTCTTACCACCGAGTCATCTTTCTAATACCCCCATTACTGTCTTTTTAAAGAGAGAAAAGCCTGTCAATATATAAAAGAAAAGTAGGAATGTCTCCAAGTAATTCAGGCTATTGTTCAGATACCCCAACAGTGAAATAGCAAGGTTACTGCAAGCGCAGTCTTTCAACACCCAATTTGTCACTGCTTTGTTTGTTTGTTTGTTTGTTTCCTTTTCTGGTTTTGATGTTTTGTTTTTGGTTTTTGGAGACAGGGTCTCACTAAGTAGCCTTGAATGGCCTAGAACTTACTATGTAGACCAGGCTAGCCTTGAATCACAGAGCTCTACCTGCCTCTACCTTCAATTTGTGGCAATCCTCCTGTCTGAGATTATAGATGTGAGCCACCATGCCCTGAACACCATCTTTATAAAAAGAAATACCGTTACTCTGGCCAACTTCATGTCCACTGCCTGGGAACAGGTGACCAAGCCTCAGGTTTCAGGAAGCCGATGTCTACCGCCCCACAAAGTAGACATCAACACAGCCTGAGATCATTCTCCAGACCGAACACCTTAGACTTGAGGGCCTTCAGCTCGCCCTGTATCTTATGTGCTCGTCTATTGCTGTCACGAACTTCACACAGAATGGCAAGGTCCTGGTTTTCCCGGGTATTCACTGTTGCCTACAGAGGTGAGAAAAGACAGAGAGAGGAAAAAAAGAATTAGGTTATAAGCTATGGAAGAAAAATGAAGTCGTAAAGAACATGCTATACTGGCTGGCTCCTTTTTTGCATATGATAAATGCAATCCTAAATTCTTCAGTGACTAATTTTAACAACGAAAATGTTTAATTCGTCAGAGAAGGAGGCAGAACATCAAGAATTCAAGGTCATCCTTGGCCACATATGCAGTTTGAGGACAGCCGGGGCAACAAAAACCATCTTAAAAACAAAACGAACAAAACAAAAGGGCAATGAAGCTTTGGCATAGAGATTAATAAACAACTAACAACAGACAAAAAGATCGGTACAGCCTTCGTGAGATCGCTCAGTGGGTAGGTAAAGGCACACACCACCAAGCCTGACAATCTGAGTAGGACCTCAGGAGCCATATGGTGGAAGGAATGAGCTGACTTCCACAAGTTGTCCTCTGACCCCCACACATGGACCATGACATACATACCCTCACACAAAAATAAATAAATGTTAATTTAAAAAAAAGACCAATAAATAACATTATTGGAAATTTTGCCAAAAATAATAGAAAGCATTTCTTTCTTTTTCTATCAGCTTTGTTCAGAACATACTATTTAGGACCTGTGGTGATCATTAAATCTCTACCAAAACTCTTGAGATACTAGACACTGAAAGGTGTCTGAGAAAGTACCTCATTACTTGATTATTTTCCCCACTTTAAAAACAATTATTATTATTATTATTATTTTTTGAGACAGGGTTTCTCTGTGTAGCTTTGGAGCCTATCCTGGCACTCGCTCTGGAGACCAGGCTGGCCTTGAACTCATAGAGATCTACCTGTCTCTGCCTCCCGAGTGCTGGGATTAAAAGCATGTGCCACCAAGACACGGCTTAAAAACAATTATTTTAAGGAGTGAGTGTGCATGCACATACGAGTGAAGGTTAAAGATGACGTCAGATTGTCCTCTGCCACTCTCCACCATTTTTGTTTTGTTTTGTATCTGGGACAGGGTCTCACTATGTAGACCTGGCTGCCCTACAACTTGCTATGAGGACCAGGCTGGTCTTAAATTCACAGAGATCCTCTTGCCTCTGCCTCTTGAGTGCTGGAATAAAGGTGTGTGCCTGAGAGATGGTCTACCAGTGATCCTAGAGGTCATTGCTTTGGCTATACCACCTGCCAGCACACCCTGGGGCCCTTCTGTCTTTACCTCTTAGCACTGTGTTTCTGATGTGTGTCTGTGCTTGGATTTCACATGGGTGCCAGGGATCTGAACTCAGGTCATAATGCTTGCACAGCCAGCAACTTTACTCAGTGGGCCATCTGCCCAGCTCCCCTGCAGGAAAACAGACCTAATTCTTTTAATCTGGTTGTAAGGTTGAGTCTGTTTTCCCAGCAGGGTGTTCCTATTGAACTGTTGCTCAGAGGTTTCTAGGGTACTTATTTGTTGGTGTCCAACTAAGGACACAGCACATCCTTCTGAGTTTTTGTAGTGCCAGGGCCTTCTTATTGTCGTGTGCACACACAGGCTCTACTGAAATCCACACCACATCCGTGGCTGTCCCTCTGAGGAGCCCTCCTGACCGTCTTTCTACACCACCACCCCTTCCCTTCCTAACTCCGGGGCAAAGGTACCTTATAGAGCATTTGCTCCAGGTCTCTCAGCTTCTGTCGAAGAACCTTAATGTCTGTCTTGAAGCCTTCTACTTCCAGCATGCGTCGATGCTCCAGGGCTTCATAGCGTTTTGTCATTGTCTGTAAGCGCTTGCCCATCTTGTTGGAGCGATCCTAAAAATGGGTGATGGGGAGTTTATGAAGAGAGAATCAGTCTCCAGGGCTGTCTGCATGTCCACTCGTCAAAGTGTGACAGCACTATATACCTTGAAGATCTCCCTCCTCACTCCCTCTTCCTCCCGGATTCGAGCAAGTTCCTCTTCTAAGGAAATGCACTGTTGTTGGTACATGCTGGACAGCTTTTTCTCTTGCATTAGTTTATCCTTTAGAGACTGTAGGCCAAAGGGATAAAAACATTTAATGTTCAGCACTATAATTATCAGGTAATTCTTTTTTTAACTTTATTTTTATTTTATGTGCATTGGTGTTTTGCCTGTATGTATGTCTGTGTTGGATCCTGGAGTTATAGACAGTTGTGAACTGCCATGTGGGAGCTGGGAATTGAATCTAGGTCCTCTGTAAGAGCAGCCAGTGCTCTTAACTGCTGAGCCATGTCTCCAGCTCTATCAGGTAATTCAAAGTAACACTCTGGTAAAGAAGGGAGGGAAAGATTTCTAGAGCAAATGAGCGGGAACAGATATGAGGAGACACCGGGGTCCCTGCAATGTCTACACTTTCCTCTCTGTACTATCCCTCAAGTAGATACATTCTTTTTTTTTAACATATGAAGCTGTTTAATTAGGTTGATAGCAATTTTAAAAAACAGTTTGTAGTCGGGCGTTGGTGGCGCACGCCTTTAATCCCAGCACTCGGGAGGCAGAGGCAGAGGCAGGCGGATCTCTGTGAGTTCAAGGCCAGCCTGGTCTCCAGAGTGCCAGGATAGGCTCCAAAGCTACACAGAGAAACCCTGTCTCGAAAAACCCGTTTCTCAGAGAGAACTGAGACCTCAGGTAGCCCTGGAGCTGAGGAACAGCTTTGATCTTTGGCAAAAGCTTCGAGTCCATAGTTTTCTGATCGGCCTTGTGCTGCTCTGTAATCTCATATTTCTCCTTCTCTGTGTCGAAAGTCTCGCCCTCCTGGTGCCTGGGCTTGCGCAGCTGCTGCTTCTTAAAGTAAGCATCAGTCAGGTGTTTGGGGATTTTAACCTTGCTGATATCAACTTTTGTAGAGGTGGCAATGACAAATTTCTGGTGTGCTCTTTGCAGAGGAACTCTGTTGAGGGCAAGAGGTCCTGTCACAAGTAGCAAGCTGCTGCCCAGTTGCTTCAGGAAAACCACCCTCTTGCCCTTGTGGCACCCGGTGAGGATGATCAGGACAGTCCCTGGAGTGATGCTGGCTCGAAGCTTCCTTACATGCTGACTGAAGGGCTTCTTGCCATGGCTCAGCAGCTTCCGAGGAACATCTTCAGTAGGGTAACACCTGGGCATTTTTCGAAGCTTAACCACCCAGGTACCACCGTTCTTGTTACTGCCAAGTGGTTTAGTGACAGTGGCAAGGACCTTCTCCTTTTTCTTCTTCTTTTCAACCTTGGTTTTTGCAGCTGAGTATTTTCTTTTGTACAGGGCCTTTCTGGAATACATAGCAGATTGGGAGTACCTGCCAATTTCTCTAACCAGGCCAGGGTTTCTGGCTGCAATGGGGCCTCCCCTTCTTGGGCTTTTTAACCTTAGGGTCACCCTTTTTGGCTGCACCAGCGGCATCACCACCAGCCTTCTTGGCTGCTGGTTTCTCTTTTGTGTCAGGCTTTTTGGCTTTTTCACCCACCATCTTGCAAAGAAGGAAAAGAGCAGTAGATACATTCTTAAGATAAAATAACCCAGGTGTCCTAGTTAGGGTTCCTATTGTTGTGACGAAATACCATGGACAAAGCAACCTGGGGGAGAAATGGTTAATTTGGCTTACACCTCCACACATCGTAGTCCATCACTAAAGGAAGTCAGGGCAGGAACTCAAGCAGGGCAGCAACCTGGAGGTAGAGGCTGGTGCAGAGGCCATGGAGGGGTGCTGCTTACTGGCTTGTTCCACATGGCTTGCTCAGCCTGCTTTCTTATAGAACCCAGGACCACCGGCCCAGAGGAGGCACCATACACAATGGGCTGGACCTTCCCAAATGAATCACAATTAAGAAAATGCCCTATCAGCTTGCCTCCAGGCCAATTTTTATGGAGGCGTTTTCTCAGTGGAGGCTCTCCTCTGCTCCCATCCTCCTATTTGCGAGCTCCAGCTTGCGTCAGAACCATCTAGCACACCAGCTCTGGTGCTCATGGCCTCTAACTCTAACATTCTGGAGGGAGACAGGACCAGCAATTCAAGGTCATCCTCAGCTACACAGTTAATTAACAGCCAAAAAATAAAAGTATTTTTGGTTGAGAAGAACCACAAAATAGAGCTCAGAGTTTGTTTTAAGTAAGACATTATGATGTGTTTTAACTCTTTGAAAAAAAAAAAAGAAAGAAAGAAAGAAAGAAAGAAAGAAAGAAACATCAACAACATGTATTACACACTCCTCCATGGAGGAGCCAAACACAGACCTTACAACATGTATTACACACTCCTCCATGGAGGAGCCAAACACAGACCTTCAAAACATTAAACTGCAGCCAGTAAGACAGCTCAGCAGTTAAGGCACTTGCTATGATGACTGGGCCCCACATGGTAGAAGGAAAGAACTGAGTCCTGCAAGTTCTCTGACCTCTACATTCCTATCATGATATGTTCATGTGTCACAAGAGTCTCAAATGGGTGTACACACACACACACACACACACACACACACACACACACACACACACACCACATAAATAAATGCAATTTTTGGGGGGAGGGGGTTTGAGACAGGGTTTCTCTGTGTAGCTCTGGAGACCAGGCTGGCCTTGAACTCACAGAAATCTACCTGCCTCTGGCTCCCAAGTGCTGGGATTAAAGGCGTGTGCCACATGTGCCACGTGTGCCACCACCATCACCACCCAGCAAAATAAATACAATTTTTAAAATTAGAAAAACCAAAACAACAAATCAGATCCATATACAGAAGTGACACCTGTAATCCAGGTACTCTAGAGGCAAATGGAAGATTACCAGGGGTTCAAGCTCTGCCTAGGAAACAACAATGAACCTCCCACTCAAAATAATAAGCTGGTGTGGTAGCACATTCCCAGAATCCCAGCACTCAAGAGGCAGAGGCAAGAAAATCAAAAGTTCAAGGCCATCTTCAGCTACACAGTGAGTTGGAAGCCAGCCTGGCTACCTGAAACCCTGTCTCAAGAGGCCAAAAGGAGACATCAGACCAAGTTACTTTCTCATTAACTCTTCCAGGACACAATCATTAGAACCATGTTTATATCCCTTACACTGTCTCTGACAGGGTCTTGTGTAGCTTGGGCTGGCCTCAAACTCACTTCATCCAAGGATGACCTTGAATTAGTATCTCTCCGGTCTCTAATCTCCAAATACTGGGACTATAGGCATGAGCCATTGCACCTGGCTTTATGCAGTGCTGAAGATCAAATCCTAGCTCTCTGTATGCTATGCAAATATTCTCACAACTGAGCCTTAACTTTAACCTCAAGGAATTCTTTTCAACTCTCCCAGGAAAGTAATGACATTACCTTAATATATTCATTTTGAGTATGATGATTCTCAGGTAAAGCTGGGATAACTTTTCCAAGTTTATCTTCTTTCTTCTTACATTGCACTTTATACTGCTTAATCTTTGACATCAAGTGATCTTTTTCAAGCATCCATACCTTCTCTTTATTTTGGTTTTCAAATCTTAGTTGTAGAAAGTCTTTGGTGCTCTCGTAGAGCAGTTCTTGGGTATAATGGAGACTATGAAAAAAGGAACAACTGTGAGCATAAAGATGTTCACACTGTTTAGCTGAAATACAGGGCTATGCCAAAAAAGAATACAACTTCTTTAAAGATTGTACAATACAAACTCCCAAATAGTAGCAGTTTTAAAGAGACACACAGTCCGACAGTCTTATAGGCTTTATTAGCCAAAGTGTATTGTACCTACCACACTCCTAGTTCAGACTGGACTTCACAGAAACTTTACCGAAATTGTCTAAGCTACCCTTGAATTTCAATCCTCCTTCCCTGACCTCTTGAGCAGTGGTATTACAGGCATACACCACCATACCCAGCTGAATTCTTGTCCTTTTCTTGAGATCAATTTCTCTATGAAGTTATGTCAATGATTTAGCGTATTTTACATTTTTCTGTTTTCTCAGTCCTACGTCAGTTTTAATTTGTACTGTCTTATAATTCAATAGTTGTTTATATACTGTATCAGATTTTGAATGTCAACATGCATATTTTTCCTGAGCAAAAGATAGCTGGATTTTTTTCCTTACCAGCAGAACAAGGATAGTACTAACTACTGGAAATACAAAAGCACTGATTAGTCCTGATAACTGTTGTTGATATTGGGAATAAAAAAATGATGTTTGTAGCTCTAAAACAGAATGTCCTCAGAAGTTGGCACTAACAACACCTAGAAAAGTAAGTACTATAGAAAGTGATATAATTGCCTGCAAGAGCATTAAATACCATAAAGCAATCACTATAACTCCCTACTTATCAAATAATAGCTCTTTTCTGAGTAGCAGGAAACGTAAGTTTTATGTTTGAAATTATAAAGTGGTTTGAAAATATCCAGATTAAGGAGTAGGAGGGGGACAAGAGAAAGTAAAGGGAGTGAACATGATCCAAATATATTATGCACATGAGTGAAAATGGCAGAATGAAATCCACTATTACATATAATTTGTCTAATTAATATATGCTAGTAAAAACATTTAAAATATCATAGCTGAGCTGATGTGCTCACATACTAGAACACTTGCCTAGCCTGTGTATAGTCCTAGGTACAATACTAAACATTGCAAAAATAAATAAAACATCAGGGAAAAAAAGGGAGATACCCAAAGGTCAGTCATCAATGGCCTAGGGTTTCAGGCCACACAAGGGCCTTAGGATGATTCACTAATGAAGGAACTGAGCATGACCCTGATTAGTCATTCAGAAAAGTAAGACACCTGTTAGGACCATGATTCTTGGGTCCTCACCTTTTGGTCAGCTCTTTGACTTTGTCTTGATTTCTCTGGTGTTGAACTTGTATCTCCTCGATTCGAATCCGTCTATCCTCCATGAGCCCTTCAATTTGCTCTCTAGAGAGCTTTGTCTGCTCTCCCAGCTGGGCCTGAAGTGCTTCTACCTACATGGGCCAAAAGGGAAGAGTTAGCTATCCATTCCTGCTTCCATTACTTCATATCTCTGAAGGTGAGCCCTTCCTAGAAACAAAGTAAAATGGGTAGGGGAAAAAACCCAAGCAGTAGCAAAACAAACAGAATCTCAGCTCTGATTTTATGTGTGTGTGTACTGTATATGCCTATGCTGTGTTCACACTTCTGTTGGGCATGAGAGTGAGAAAAGTGTCTCCTTCAATCACTCCCCATCTCATTTCTCTTTTCTTTCTTTTTCTTGCTTTTTTTTTTTTTGGGGGGGGGTGGCTTTTCCGAGACAAGGTTTCTCTGTATTGCTTTGGAGGCTGTCCTGGAACTTGATTTGTAGACCAGGATGGCTTCGAACTCAGAGATCTATCTGCCTCTGCCTCCTGAGTGCTGGGATTAAAGGCGTGTGCCACCAACGCCTGGCCCCCACTTCATTCTTTCATTCTTTCTTTCTTTAATAATTTTTTATTTAAATTAGAAACAATCTTATTTTACACATCACTCCCAGTTCCCTCTCCCTCCCCTCCTCCCATGCCCCCCACCCCAGCATCCCATCCCTCATCCACCTCATTTCTTTTTTTTTTTTTGTTAATATAATTTATTTATTCTTATTTAATCACATTAGGGTTTTGCCTACATGCATGTCTGTGTGAGGGTGTCAGCTCTTGGAGTAACAGACAGTTGTGAGCTGCCATGTGGATGCTGGAGGAGCAATCAGTGCTCTTAACCGATGAGCCATCTCTCCAGCCCCCCACCTCATTTCTTAAAACATGGTTTCTCACTGAGCCTTGAGCTTACCAACTGCCTAAACTGAATGGCCAATGAGTTCCAGGGATCTCCCTGGGCCCACTCGCCCAGTGGGATTACAGAAGTGTTGTCACCCAGTTTTCTTTTCTTTTAATATATATTCTATTTTTATTTATTTATTTTTTGTATGTATGAATTTAACCTGCACTTATGTTTGTCTCATGTATGCCTGGTGCCTGCTATAGAAGTCAGAAGAGGGCATCAGAGGTATAGGAGGTTGTCAGCTGCCATGTGGGTGCAGGGAATTGAACCTGTGTCCTCTGCAAGAGCAGCCAGTGACCTTAACTGCTGAGCCTTTGCTCCAGTCCCCAGCCCAGCTTTTTGATGAAGGTGGGAGGGATCTGGGCTCAGGTCCTCATGCTTTCTGACGAGCACTTTACCAGCTGAGCCATCTCACTAACTCCTAATTCCCTTTATTTTGTGCTTTATGAATGGTGTTGGGCTGTACTAGAACCAACTCTTTATCCATACTCAGCCTCTCATCTATACCACACAAAGTAAGAGCTGTCATCCACCTCTCTCTACCCCATTATTCTTACTCTTCACTGTCTCCTTCTGGGCTTAGAGGACTGTGTCTTCCTTTTAAGATATCCCCCACCTTGGCAGGGCAATGATGGCTCACACCTTTAATCCCAGCACTTGGGAGGCAAAGGCAGGTGCATCTCTGTGAGTTTGAGGCCAGCCTGGTCTACAAAGTGAATTCAGGAGAGTCTCCAAAGGCTACACAGAGAAACCCTGTGCTGAAAGACAAAAACAAACAAACAAAACAACAATAACAACAACAACAACAAAAAAACAACACAGGCGTTGATGGCACATGCCTTTAGTCCCAGCACTTGAGAGGCAGATGCAGGTGGATCTCTGTGAGTTGGAAACCAGCCTGGTCTACAAGAGCTAGTTCCAGGACAGCGTCCAAAGCCACAGAGGAACCCTGTCTACGAAAAACCAAAAAAAAAAAAAAAAAAAAAAAAAAAAAAAAAAAAAAAGAAAAAGAAAGAATAGATGCCCTAATTATATAGAAACATAGTGAGTCTTCCAGTTTCAAAATGTAGAGCAAAATGGAGGTAATGTAATTTCTTTCTTGTGGTCTAGCTATTATGACTTTTGAGACACTGGCCAAAGGCAAAAATTTTTTAAGTCAATGTACCACTGCCCCAATAAGGATAGGAACTTTTGAAATAACACACTAGGACCCAGTTGTTGCAAGATAATTGATTATACTGTGTACAGATATGTCATTGTGATTGGTTTAATAAAAAGCTAAATGGCCAGTAGCTAGGCAGAAAGTATATAGCAAGAACTTCTGGACAGAGAGAACTCTGGGAAAAAGAATGGTGGAGTTACCAGCCAGATGGAGAGGAAGCAGGATGGACATTACACCAAGCCATGTAAAAGAACATAGATTAAAATGTACGGATTTGGGCTGGAGAGATGGCTCAGAGGTTAAGAGCACTGATTGCTCTTCCAGAGGTTCTGAGTTCAATTCCCAGCAACCGCATGGTGGCTCACAACCATCCGTTATGAGATCTGGTGTCTTCTTCTGGTGTGCAGATATACATGGAAGCAGAATGTTGTATACATAATAAATAAAATCTTAAAAAAAAAAAAGATACGGATTAATTTAAGTTATAAGAGCTAGTGAGGGGCTGGAGAGACGGCTCAGAGGTTAAGAGCACTGACTGCTCTTCCAGAGGTTCTGAGTTCAATTCCCAGCAACCGCATGGTGGCTCACAACCATCCGTTATGAGATCTGGTGTCCTCTTCTGGTATACAGATATACATGGAAGCAGAATGTTGTATACATAATAAATAAATAAAATCTTAAAAAAAAAAAAAAAAAGAGCTAGAGAAGACAGCTAACTCTTCCAGCTAGAGAGGGGGCTGGAGAGATGGCTCAGTGGTTAAGAGCACTGCCTGTTCTTCCAAAGGTCCTGAGTTCAATTCCCAGCATCCACATGGTGGCTCACGACCATCTGTAATGAGATTTGGTGCCCTCTTCTGGCCTGCAGGCATACATGGAGGCTGAACACTCTATACATAATAAATAAATAAATAAATATTTTTTGTTTTAAAGGAAAAAAAAAAAGAGCTAGTGGGACAAGCCTAAGGTATACACTGAGCTTTTATAATTAATAGTAAGTCTCCATGTTGTTTTTTTGTGAGCTGGCAGCCTAAAGAAAATTCCATCTATATGTAGCACCCAACATGGGACCATGTATATCCACATAAGGCCCAAGAAAGCTTTAAAAAAAAATTGTAATAGGAAACTAAAGGTGGTTTCTTGGTGGCCATGGTCTCTTGGGTAGGTTTGGCAGCATACAGAGACACAGCTACCTGCCGCTGCCTGTGGGCTGTAGTCAGCCACCAGCACCATGTGCTAACCTGAGCCACACTGGCAACTGACAAGCAGTTTAAGATTTGTCTCACAAGATCAGAGAACACTGCAGATGCTTAGTAAAGCCAGGTCAAGACACATTTAAACCTCTAAAAAGATATGTTTTTAAATGTGCATAGGCTTAAAAAAGAAAAGAAAATGGGTATAGACAGTCATAGAAAAATGGTTTATAAATAATAAAACAAAGTCTTTAAAGAGAGATAAAATAATATAAAAAAGATAAGCTATACAAAGATGGGAAATACACAGAGAGTCTAGATCCTATATGATGTCTTATTTATTTTGAATTTTTAAATGCTAATGAACAGAGAATGACAGCTGCTGAGAGACACTGGATTGTGAAAGGGACTGTTGAATTAAGCTAGCCTAGATACTTTAGAAACACTTTAACTTTAAAATGGAAGTCAGAAAATGTCTTGCTTTGGTGAAGAGGTTATGCTTTTGTTTCCAGAGATTAAAGAGGACTGGGTTTGATCCAAAGAGATCCCCCTGAAAATCCTTGCTACAGATACTACAAGACAGGTGATGTATATTTTACCTGTATATTAAACATAAAACAAAAAAAATCATCTTTCAATGGCTTCTGTGCAACACACAGTTCATACCTGTGTTAATACAGATATGTATGTTACCTTTGAAAGTTTGTGTGCTTTCAGAGCAAGGGGACCAGAAACGACTAAAAACCGGTGGCCCAGGTGATCCAGCCTCTCAGAATGCCTCTGTTGCAGTTTCCTCAGAGTTCTGCATCTAGAACAGCTTTAAGGCTGCTGGCTGAGATGGTCCAGCCTCACAGACTATTCCAGCCAGAACTTCAGATAAGCCTTGCACTTTCCCGTCACACTGAGACTGGACAACAGCTAGTTCTCCTAGGACTTGATCAATATCCCAAATTTCTCAGGGTCCCTACAGACATCATTGCCCCCAGACAACAGGAAGCAGTCGAGAGAATATAACACCCACACTCCCAAGAAGTGCAATGGGTGGTTTTTGGTCATTCGGTGGGTTATGTATGTTTGTCATTTTTTAGGGAGGCTTGTTACAAATTGCTACTGGTCATGGTCAGGATAAAAGCTAAACAAAGGAGATTAGATTCAGGGATTTCTTTCTGAAGGGAAAAGAAGGGGGGATATAGTACAGGAATGATGGGGTAAAAGGATGGATTGTAGAGTCTACTCTTGAACAACTACTAGTCTCACATATTTTACATTGGTAAAGATCTTTGTATATTGGTATAAATTTAAAGTTATTTTTGTTATACTTTATATGTTTCTATTCTTATTTAAGATATTGTACCTATGCAGCTCATTTAAAAATGTAAAGTTCTAGTCCTTGAAAGCTATTTAGGATAATAAAGTAATACAGGTTAATAGTTGTCTGTAACTATCAAACTTACAGTCATGTTAAGTATGTTTTCAAGGTCATACAGAGATATATTTTAGATAGATAAGTGATCTTCAAACACTTCAAAGACCTACAGAATATGGCATTTAAAATGTTTTAATAACATAGGTTTTTTTGACAGTGAGGCACGTCTGCTCCCAGCAGCACCAATCTACTTCAAAAAAAAAAAAAAAAAAAAAAAAAAAAAAAAAAGGGGGAAAAAAAAAGATGATGGGCATCAAAGAACCTCCAGATGGAGTTTGTTTTCTTTGTGGCAAAAGCTAGCCATTTGGGCAAGAAACAGCCCTTGTCTTTACTTCTGACAGTGTGTGGTCCAAATTGAACAAGCAGGGCACAACTGCTAAACTTTGCTAAGACAGAACAGTCTTCCAAAAATTTCCTGCTTCATAGACAACTCTGTCAGATATTTTAGGTTTATAGGTCAACTTGGATGCCCCAACATTACAAAAGGACCTTGGATGACTGTCCAGGTAGCCAGCTGTCTTTGTCGTTTCGTGGTTTTGGAAGTTGCTTGTTCTGCACTTCCTGTTAGGTAATATTATATTGTTGAAGACTAGATAGTTATAGTTTTCTTTAGTTATGACATAAGGTAAATTAGATGCAAAATTTTGGACTCACCAAGAAGTATTAATAATGGAGTATTCTCTCTGAACTTGCCAAATGAAATGAACTGGACATTGTAAATGTAAATCCTACCTGATAATTGTTCTTACTGTATAAATTTTACTATGTTAGAGTGAAAACACTTTCCTTTTTATTTAGACAAAAAGGGGGAAATGTTGAGAGATATTTGATTACACTGTGTAAAACTATGTCGCTGTGTTGATTTAATAAAAAGCTAAAAGGGAAGCCAGGCTGCGGTGGTGCATGCCTTTAATCCCAGCACTCGGGAGGCAGAGGCAGGTGGATCTCTGTGAGTTCAAGGCCAGCCTGGTCTACAAGAACTAGTTCCAGGGCAGCCTCCAAAGCCACAGAGAAACCCTGTCTCGAAAAACCAAAAAAGGAGCTAGTGGGACAAAACTAAGTAAGGTAGAAGCTGATTTTACAATTAATAATTTTATAATTATTAGTAATTTTATAATTAATAGTAAGTCTCCATGTCATTTTTTGTTAGCTGGTAGCCCAAAGAAAAATCCCTCTACCCCAGTAGTAAGATAATGATTTATTATTTTCCTAGATTTTAGAATAAATGATTATAACCCCAAATGTTGATTTGTCAGACAGACAAACTTCTTTATGCTACTCTCCGTATAGTCCTCAGGCCAATCACAGAGTAAATTCTAGGCAGGCATGGTGGCATCTTTAATCTCAACATTCAGGAGGTAGAGGCAGAGGCAGAGGCAGAGGCAGGAGAATCTCTGTGAGTTTTAGGTCAGCCTGGTCTACATAGCAAATTCCAGACTAGTCAGGGCTACATGACCAGATCTTGTTGCAAAACAAGAACAAAACAAATGGGAATTCTTATTTTAGGATGGTTTTGTTAGCTAGGGCTTAGCATGTTAACTAAAGGTTTCCAGAAGCACTCTAGAATATTCAAATAGACAATAATGATTTTAAAGTATAAGTACTATGAAGCTATTCTCACTTGAGAAACCCAAATTTCCTCTCAGGTATGCATTACTATTCTCCCCATGACTCCTTCCAAATATACACCATGTGATCACACACAATTAAAAAAAAAAAAAAAAAAAAAAAAAAAAAAAAAGCAAAAACAACTTTCCAGATCTATATGGTATTAGGCTGCCAGAGGCAGTGTAATGGGCTACTGAACTATAGTTATGCCATCTTGTGAAAGTATTCCTAAGAATACTTTAAATGCTAAAATTATTTTAGGTAAACTGGTCTCTGATCACTTAGATCAACCATAAATTCGCCATAGATTCCTACTATAAACTGGTCTTTGGACCAGCCATCAATTCTATACAATGTGTCCCTGACTTGAAGGTTATGAGAAGTACCTAACCACTTAAGTGCTGTATCTCCGCTTCTGTAAACAATACTTGCTTGCTGCAGATGTCCATACTGCCTTTCTGTACATGTTGCAATTGCAGTTTTTGCCTTTAAAAACAACAAATTGGAACAGTGACTAAAGCCTCCATATGACTTATTCAGGCATCTCAGGAGTTTTTCTCTTTTGGTACCCCATAACAACAGAACTCCCAGATCGTCTCTCTTAGAGGAGTGGGGATATATAGAAACAGGGTTTTGCTAGGAAGCTCTAGTTGGCCTGGTGTTCCCTACATAGAGCCCAGCAGGCTTCAAATGTATGGCAATCCTCTTGCCTCAGCCTCTCCTAAGTGCTGGGATTAAAGGAGTATGCCACTGTGTATGGCTTTCTCTCCTACATTAATGTTCATATTTAAATCTATATTAAAACTATCTCGGGCTGGAGAGATGGCTCAGAGGTTAAGAACACCGGCTGCTCTTCCAGAGGTCCTGAGTTTAATTCCCAGCAACCACATGGTGGCTCACAACCATCCGTTATATGAGATCTGGTGCCCTCTTCTGGTGTGCAGATATACATGGAAGCAGAATGTTGTATAAAAAATAAATAAATAAAATCTTAAAAAAAAAAAAAAAAACCTATCTCTAAACCAGGTGAGGTGGTGCATGTCTTTAATCCCAGAAATAGGTTGATCTCTGAATTTGAGGCCAGTGTGGTTTACATAGTGAGCTCTAGGACAGCCAGAATTGTGTAGACAGACCCTGTCTCCAAACAAAACAGAACAAAACAAAACAAAACAGTAACAACAACAACAACAACAAAAAAAACTGTCTCTAACTTTGCTTGAAAAAAAAATTTTCTTGGCCCCCAGGATGCCTGGATGCAGCGCAAGTGCAAAAAGAGAGTTGTCGTGTAATAGCAAAGGCACACTGCACACAGCTACATGTGTAGAGAGAAACCACTTTGATCCACGACAAATGTCTCACCTGCAGCATGAGTGTGTGTATGTTCCTCTGGTAACGGTCACACATGTCCTCCTTTTCTTTTATTGTTGCTCTTCTTTTGCTTTCTTTAGGATCTAAAACAGAAGACAGAAGTTCATCAAAAACTCTGCTCAACTGCTTTCTGCTTCTCAAGTATCAATACTAACTAACCCTGCAGGAATCCGGCTTCCTTTACCTGCAAGAGAAGGAGAGGAGGAAAAGGACACACGTGAGACCTGCAGGGCTTGATTCCCAGGCAGAGATCTCTTAAGGGAATTTTGCAGCCCTTCACCTGGGTAATCATATTCACCTTCTGTCAGAATGTTCCTCTGGAGTTGTGACTATTTTCTTAGTGAAAGCCCAATTTAGACACTTTAGTTATGGCATGCCACACAATTTTCAAAAGAAAAGGTAACAACAACAAAAACTGAACGAGGCCACTAGCGCCTGGGAAGGCATGGGGGAGGAAATGGGAGGGTAGCTGAGGGGGCAAAGGTGCAGCTCAACAGCTAGAGTAGCTTCTAGTGTTTTCTGGCACAAGAGCGTACCTATGGTTGACAGCAACTGCATACCTGAAAACAGCTAGAAGCAGACAGGGCCACAGAGTACTTACAAGAGGTAATGGCTATCTACCAATCACCCTGATCACTAACACAATGTATAGATACACATTACAGGGTCACATCATACTCTACAAATATGTATAACTGTTAATTAGTAAGAATTTTTTGTTTTGTTTTGTTTTTTGAGACAGGGTTTCTCTGTGTAACAGTCCTGGCTGCCCTGGAACTTGCTCTGTAGACCAGGCTAGCCTCTAACTCACTGAAATCCGCCTCCCAAGTGCTGGGATTAAAGGTGTGCGCCACCACCACCTGGCGAAATGTTATTTTTAAAAAGCAAAAGAAACTTGCACTGAGGAGCTAGGGAGATGGCTCAGTCAGTAAAGTGCCTGCTGTGTAAGCAAGGGGGCCTGAGTTGAGATCCTCAGCACCCATGTAAAAAGCCATGTCTGCACACCTATTACCCCAACACCAGACAGGCAGAAGCAACAGAATCCCTAGAGCTCACTGGATAGCTAGTCTAGCCAAATCAGTGAACTCCAGGTTCAATGAGAAGCTCTCAAAAAGGTGAAGACCCTGACATAGACCTCTGGCATCCACATAAATGCATACCCATACACATGCCTCCATTTGAACACACACGCACACGCAACACTACAAAACACCTTGCATTAAACAATAGTTTATTCTTTGCATAGTTCTAGATATGTATGGTATTGAATTGCCAGAGGCATCATTATGAACACTACTATCTCTGTCTAGTAGGGAAAATTTTCTAATTTCTTGTATTGGGATTTTCAATTCAACAGCAGTGAAGATTTCTAGAGCAGTGGTTACCTGCTTTGAATGCTGAAGGCTCATACTGTTCACACGCTTCTACAGCCTGGATAGTCTTTTGGAGGATGCTTACCTAAAGAAGTAGAAAAGGTATAGAAGTAATCTCAATATGTGTGAAATATATTTTGAAAAGTACTCTTTGAGGAAGATGTGGTGGTGCACACCTTCAATCCCAGCAGTTGGGAGGCAGAGGCAGGCAGATCAGATCTCTGTGAGTTCAAGGCCAGCCTGGTCTACAGAGTGAATTCCAGGACAGCTAGAGAGGGTTGTTACAAAAAAGAAAAAAACAAAAAAAGAAAAAAAGTCAAGTGCTCTTTAACAAGAACATGAAAATGAAAATATATATATGATAATGCTACAGAGAATTTTTTTACAAAGTGAAAAGGCAGTCAAGCAAAGTGGTGTGCCCCTGAGATCCCCATATTTGGGTGGCTGAGGTAGGCAGATGACAAGTTTGAGGCCAGACTGGGTTATCTACTGAACTCCAGATTTGCTTGGGCTACATATTTAGACCTCGTCCTGTCCCATCCCATTCCTCCCCCCTGCAAAACAGGGTTTCTCTATATAGCTTTGGCTATCCTGGAACTTGCTCTGTACGTCAGACTAGCTTCGAATTCACATAGATCTTCTTGCCTCTGCCTCCAAAGTGCTGGGATAAAAGTGTGTCTCACCATTTGTGTGCTTTTGATAAAGACTATTATTAATTTGTAATCAATATAAAAAATGTTTGAAAAGAAATTAAGTTCTGAAATCTCTTCTTCACAAAGACTCCCTCTGCTTTCTTCTCTAATCTCAGCAAAACGTCTGTCCCTCTAAGCTTTAGTTTTCCTTTTGTTCTTCTCTTGGTGCAGTGCTGGGGAGGAACCAAGAGCCTCACACTCACTAGGCAAAGACTCTGCATTGAGGTATACCTAACCCTAGGCTTTAAGTTTTTTTTTCTCCTTATCAAAAAAAAAGTACATTTATTCATCAACAATGACACAATTTAGAATTAAAACACAGAATGGTGGCGCACACGCCTTTAATCCCAGCACTCAGGAGGCAGAGACCAGCCTGGTCTACAAGAGCTAGTTCCAGGACAGCCTCCAAAGCCACAGAGAATCTCGAAAAACAAAAACAAACAAAAACACCCCCAAAAGACCCACCACCACCAACAACAACAAAACATAGAATGAAAACAAATAACACATTTCTGAGTGTTTTCAAATTCCTGGCAAGTTACTCTTTAAGATTCAGGGACGGGTCAGGGGGTGTGGGCATGCCTTTAATCACAGGGCTCCAGAGAGAGAGACAGACAGACAGGTCTCTCTGAGTTTGAGGCCAGCCTGGTCTACAGAATGAGTTCCAGGATAGCCAAGACAACAGATTGTTGTTCTGCCTTCTTGATTATTCTAGTTGTTTAAGCTATCACCATTACTCCTCACCTGTCTTGATCTTAGGAAAAGGGTGCTCTACAAATCATCTCTCTGTCATTTGCTCTAAAAAGGCTCTTTAGAATTTGATTCCTTGGACTGTTCCTGACATTGGCTGTGTTGGGTTGGGTGCCTTGAGAAACAAACTGCACAGTGAAGATCTTCTTCCAGAATGTTTGTGGGGAACACTCTAAGGAGATCTACCTCTGAGGAAATAAGGGGAGTCTGGTTGGGTAAATGCAAAACTTCAGCTGTGATTTGGTTACAGCAGGTCCCTGCCAATACCATGGGGGATCTGAAGCTGAATGGCTTTTCAGAGCCATCTAAATTGAGGCAAAGACAATGGATTCTTATTCCCCTGAGCCCTACTGAGAAGGCAGAGAATGCAGACTGTCCCTGAGGGATAGGAGGCATAAGCAGGGAAGCAATTTCCTTTCTCTTTGAGCAGTTCTGAACGGAGAGTAAACTGTGAGCCATGAGCAGGCTATATTCCTTATCGCTGAAGACCCACTACAGTTGAAGACCCACTACAGCCAAGAAATTGTTCCAAGGCCCCTTCTCTGGATTCCCCAATAGAAAATCCTAATGTTTTAATAGCTGTAGCTGAGGTGTAGATTCATCTTTTTCATTTGTGGTTATATAATTTTTAGAATACCAGAAGCTAGGGATATAGCTTAGGTGTAGAGTGCTTGCATAATGTCTTAGTGTTTCTATTGCTGTAAAGAGACACCATGACCATGGCAACTCTTAGAAAAGATCACATTTATTTGGGGTGGCTCGCTTACATTTTGTATTTTTACTTCTCAGTTTGCTCCTTTTCATTCTAAGTCTTCATTAGAGTTAACATTAATAACCACATGACAGAGTCTATACTGGGCTGCTTTGAGATTTCCTCTGCCAAAAGAATTAATCCAAAACTCTTCACTTTGGCCCCAGGCAGACTCTTTGGACAAGGGTGAAAAGCAGCCACATTCTTCACCAAAATGTCACAAGAACAATTTCCAGGCAACATACTAACATTCTTCTCCTCTGAAAACTCTGTGAACTTCAACTCACAGAGAGCTGTGTGCCTCTGCCTTCCAAGTGCTGGGATTAAAGGCGTGTGCCACCACCACTCAGCATGGTTTCTTTCTTTTCTTTTCTCTTCTTTTTTTTTTTCTTTTAAGATTTATTTATTATCTATACAGTGTTCTGCCTAAATGTATGCCTATACACCAGAAGAGGGTACTAGATCTCATTATAGATTGTTGTGAGCTACCATGTGGTAGCTATGAATTGAACTCAGGACCTCTGGAAGAACAGCCAGTGCTCTTAACCTCTGAGCCATCTCTCCAGCCCTCCAGCATGGTTTCTTAATAGTGAAAAAAAAAAAAATCTTCAAAAGGTTTTTGCAGAAAAAAGCTTTAAACCTCCAGTAGATACTAGCCAGCTAACTTCATGGCTACTTTCCAAGTGGCATCTCTAACAAGTAGAGATGTTCTGACTATGAACCCTCAGCTGGGTAATGCTCATCATACCATAGCAGCAAAGATTACTTACTTTGTGGGGAGGCTCCTTACAAAAATAGGTCACTTCACCGGTGTCTGTTCCCACAAGAGCTAACAGATTTTGAATCTTTTTCTTGTCTTCCAGTTCCCTGCAATTCTCATAAAAAGTAGATATTACATACCAAAGATAAGTAACCATTCTATTTAAAGGATTTCCTTTCTAGTTGGGCAGTAGTGGTACACACCTTTCATCCTAGCACTCAGGGGGATTTCTGTGAGTTCAAGGCCAGCCTGCTCTAGAGTGAGTTCTAGGATAGCCAGGGTTACACAGAGAAACCCTGTCTCAAAAAGCCAAAAAACAAAAGTTAAAAAAAATACTAATAAAGTGGTTATACTGGTGGTTGCCAGGGCCTGGGAGAAAAACACAAAAGGAATTGTTTAATGGTCATAGTTGCAGTGTGGAAATATGAAAAGATTCCAGAGGTTGTCCAACAATGTAAATGTACCTACTTCTATTAAATACTTATAAATACTTAAAATGGGCTAGGCTGACTGAGACAAGCATGTAATTCTAGTTACTCTGACAGCTGAGGCAGGAGGATTCCAAGTTGAAAGTCTGTCTGGGCTATAAAGAGAGTTGGGGGTAGCCTGGGCAATTTTAAAAAGAGTTAGGGGGTGGAATGGAGAGATGGCTCAGTGGTTAAGAGCACTGGCTATTCTTCTAGAGGACCCAGGTTCAATTCTCAGTACCCACATGGCAGGTAACAACTCTCTGTAACTCCAAGATCTGACATCTTCACACAGACATTCATGCAGACAAAACACCAATGCAAATACAATAAAAATAAATTAATTAAAAAAAAAGCCAGGGGTATAGGACAGCAGTAGGGTGTCTAGTATACATGAGGCCCCAGATTCAATCCCCAATATTAAAACAAAACATACAACAAGCCCCAAATAAACAAAAATGTAAAAGAAATAAGTCTCTCCCCCTCCAGAAATTTTGCAGGAATGTATCCATCTGTTCATGACACCCATCTCCCATTAGCTAACGCCTTCTTCAAGAATCATTAGGGGATGGTGGGTTGGCTCAGTTGGATAAAGGTACTTGCCATGTAGGAAAAATCCAAGTGTCCAAAGTTGTTCTCTGATCTCCACACTGAGCTCTGTTACAATGGTGTACCCCACATACAAACATCAGGTACACACACACAATAGAAAATAAGTTTTTTTTTAAAGGAATTATGATTGGATAAAGGCTTTTTCTCCCAAGTTTATGACTTCTTCATGAGGGCAGCCTGTACCCAACAACTGGTTAATATCAAGATACAAAAGTTTGAATCTGTTGCCTTTGAAAGAGCACCCTAGTCCTAGAGCTTGGCCTCTGTAACCCCCCATTATAGTTCTAATTTTCTAAGAACATCCCCAGTAACTGCCTTTCAGGGAAATCTCTACTGAAAGTTTGTTTCGTGGGGACACAACCAAAGAGGAAGACTGTAGATGAATTTCATCATTTTAAGTGTAACTCAGAGTTATAATTCTAACATTTCCCTTCTCCTATTCACTACCTGATTCTTAGTCGGTCATTTTCTGAGTAGAGTCGTAAAACATGTTCCCGTTCCTGGAAGAGGCAGACCTGCATATCACTCAGGGCTTTCTGCAATTCAGCAATCTCTTCCTCCCTCTGCTGCAAATTCCATTCAAGTTTATGCTGCAAAAGAAAAATCCAGTAGAGTAGTTGAAAACAGTAGGTTTCAAAGGAAACCTCTTAGTGGATATAGAAGAGTCAGCTCATGTAGGAACATTTATTTTTTTTTAAAGATTTATTTATTTATTATGTATACAGTGTTCTGTCTGCATGTGTCCCTGCAGAACAGAAGAGGATACCAGATCTCATTTTGGATGGTTGTGAGCCATCATGTGGTTGCTGGGAATTGAACTCAGGACCTTTGGAAGAGCAGCCAGTGCTCTTAACTTCTGAGCCATCTCTCCAGCCCCATGTAGAAACATTTCTAACTGACGGTTTCACCAATACAGATTTCAAATGGCAGCACTAAGCTTTGAGCAGTGGCAGTATCGGAGCCAATGAGGTTTATCCGAGGTGCAATTATTGCTAATTGAAAACTTTTCTCAAATGGCAGCACTAGGTTATCCACACATTTGAGCTAAAAAGCAAAAGGATGAGATGGAGGTGTAGTCCAGTGGTAGAGCATCTGGTAAACAGGCAGGAAGCCCTACAGTCAATATCTAGCATTAAAAGAAAGGAAAGAGGGGGCTGGAAAGGAAAGCTATAGGATTAGTGTGATTGGAAAGTTCACACCCTTAGTCTTTCCTTTACACACAACAGCCCAAGAATGTCATATGTCTCATCTATCCTCCCTCCCTCCCTCCCCCCTCTCTGTGTGTGTGTGTGTGTGTGTGTGTGTGTGTGTGTGCGTGCGTGCGCGCGCGCGCGCGCATGCAGGTACATGTATAACCCAGAAGCTGATGTTGGGTGTCTTCCTCCATCACTTCTCCCACTTATTATGTGAGACCTGATCTCTCAAGAGAGCTCAGCAATTCAGCAAGGCTTGGTCAGTGAGCTCCAGGACATTCCTGTTCCCAGTGTGGGAATTCTCTTTTTTTTTTTCTTTTGTTTTTTCACCTGTCCTTCACAAGATTCTCTGTAGAGGTCTAACTTCTTCAACAGGTCTTCATTTTCTGTCTCACAGTCAGCCATCTTCTTCTGGTAATACTCTAGAAGCTCCTGAGAAGGGCAAAGGACGGCCAGCCGATCCTCGGTTGAAGGCAGAGGAGTTGACTCCACCGAGTCTGCCATTTTCTTCCACCTGTTGGGATCACTGAAGCCACAGGCAGAACCACGTTTGGAGGCAGTTGTTATTCTATATGAAATTAGAAAGCATATATTAAATCCTCTGAATATTTGTGAAACATATATATTTTTTTTAAATAAAAGGGGTTTTATGGGCCAGGCGCTGGTGGCGCATGCCTTTAATCCCAGCACTTGGGAGGCAGAGGCAGGCAGATCTCTGTGAGTTCAAGGCCAGCCTGGTCTCCAGAGCGAATGCCAGGATAGGCTCCAAAGCTACACAGAGAAACCCTGTCTCGAAAAACCAAAATAAATAAATAAATAAATAAATAAATAAATAAATAAATGAATCCTCAACATACACTCACACAACTATTTTCAATTAGCATGAAGAAATAAACCTGATGATACTTCCTCAAATATTAAAATATTGATGGGGAATGTCCTTCTGTATGCTGTGAATGTATGTTTCTCTTATTGGTTGATGAATAAAGCTGTTTCGGCCAATGGACACACAGGATATAGCCAGGCAGGAAATCCAAACAGGGAGAGGGGAAGGCAGTAGGTGGAGTGAAGGAGATGCCATGTAGCTGCTGAGGGAGCAAAAGACTCAGGAATTATTCTCCTGTAAGCCAAGACCTCATAGAGATATACAGATTAATAGAAATGGGCTAATAAGTAAGAGAGAGCTAGCCAATAAAAAGCCTGAGCCATCAGCCAAACAGTTTATAATTAATATAAGCCTCTGTGTGTTGATTTGGGACTAAACCAATGTGGGATCAGGCAGGACAGCCCTGTAACTTCCACTTACAGGGCTGGACCTGAACCTCAGCAGCAGAGCACATACTTGGCATACATAAGGCTAACACCGGAGTGCACACACCCATCCATCCCTAGCAGCCTACACAAAAGCTCATGACAGAAATACCATTTTATTTTCAAGGAGTAGGAAAGAGGCAAATAAAAATTTGAGCAAATTGGGCTGGAGAGATGATGGCTCAGCAGTTGGGAGCACTGGGTTCAATTCCCAGAACCTACAAGGCAGCTCACAACTGTCTGCAACTCCAGTTTCAAAAGATCCAACATCCTCACCAAGCAAGCAAGCAAAACACCAATGCACAGAAAATAAAAATAAATTAATCATTAAAACTAACAGAACAACTCTTACATTCTACAGACAAAGGGGAGGCGTGATTGTGAGGCAAGAATACTATCTGTAAATCCATCTCATGTTTATATATTGGTTGTTCCCTATGACCCAAGATTTACCATCACTGTGGTTCCTCCATTCACACTGAATGAGTCCTGGCATTTCCACAGAGACAGGGTCTCTCTATGTAGCTCTTGCTGTCCTGGAACTCAATATGCTGACCAGGCTGGTCTCAAACTCAGAGATCATGGCCTTCTGGGATTAAAGGTGTGTGCCACCACCACTGGTAAGCTACTTTAAACTCTAGATTCAGAATAAGAATAGAGAACAGAGATATAGGAAGTATGCTGTCCCTGGAGCTCCTATATTGACTGGATGAAACCTATAGAAGTATTGATTTAACTACTCAAAAATAAGCAAATATCTTACTTTCTGCAGACGGGTGTATGTGTCGGAGTGAAGTTCATTCTGTCTTATTCACATCTATCAAATACACAAAATTGATAATGAGGACCAGGAGGAATTAAAAAATATACATACATATATACATATATGCTATTCAGCTTGGTTCCCTCTTCAACATTTCCATATTTGACTCCTGAAGGGAACATAGCATTTAGACCAACACTGGGTATCTTCTTTAACTGCTTCTCCAACTTATAATTAAAGGGAAAAAGAACCCCAAAACCTTTTTTAGATTTATCTTATTTTTATGAGTGAGTGTATTTCTGCATGAGTATATGTACAACACATGTGTGCTTGGTGCCCAAAGAGATCAGAAAAGGGTGTCACATACCCTGGAATTGAAGTTATGGTGTTTGTTTGTAGGGGAAGCTGTAGCCATGCCTACTTAGGGGCTGGCTACAGGTGTGCCTGACCACGCTTGCTTGCGAGGGCGTGGTCAGAGGACTTAAGGTGACTGCGTTTTCGCTTTCGGTTTCTCTTTTGGGCTTTCGTACAGACAGCTGTAAGTAAGGCTTTTCCCTTCTATTTCTACCTGACTCTGTATTGGTAATTCCCCACTGTTGTTGTAAGCCACCATGCAGGTGCTGGGAATCACATGGGGTCTTCTGCAAGAGTTAACAAGTGACCCTGACTGCTGAACCAACTCCCTAATCGATACTTTTTTTTTTTTAAACAAGGTCTTTCAATAAACCAGGAGTTCATCAGTTCCCATGGACTGTCCAACCAATAAGCTTCAGAGACCCACCTTTCTCAGAAAAACACATTCCCCAATCCTTCCCTCCCTCCTCCTTCCCTCTCACTTCCTCATACCCAACCAGCACCGGGGTTACTGTCATAAACAGCTGTGAAGGCTTTTTCATGGGTGTTGAAGATCCACTCTCTGGGCTTCATGCTTGTGAGGCAGGCACTTTGCCAACTGAGCTGTCTCTCTAAACCTTGTGGGTTTTTGTTTGTTTTCATTTTGTTGGTTTGAAAAAGTATCCAGCTATGAAGCCAAAGCTGGTGTGAGACTCATTATGTAATCTGGACTGGTCTGGGACTTTCATCCATCCTCCTGCCTGAGCTTCCCAAGTGCTGAGATAATATAGGTGGGTGCCTTTATACACTTAGTATCTGAAAAGAAATTCTGTGTGTGTGTGTGTGTGTGTGTGTGTGTATAGCGGGAAGACAACGTAAGGAGTCAGCTTTCTTCCTCCATTACTCAGATATCAGGGTCAAACTCATGCCTAGAAGCAAGCACCTTAACCTGCTGAGCCATCGTATATTTTTTAATACGCAATTTTAATAATGTTTAAATATATATTAATTTTATGTCTATGGGTGTTTTGCCTGCAAGTATGTCTGTTCACTAGGTAAGTGTATGCTGGTGCCCCAGGAGGCCAGAAAATTGTGAGCTGTCATGTGGGTGCTGGGAAGCTAACCCAGGTCCTTTGGAAGAGCAGGCAGTGCTCTTAAGCACCGAAGCATCTCTCCAGGCCCTGTCTAATAATTGTTTAAGAGAAAGGATACAGCCGGGCGTTGGTGGCAAACGCTTTTAATCCCAGCACTTGGGAGGCAGAAGCAGGCAGAGCTCTGTGAGTTCCAGGCCAGCCTGGTCTACAGAGCAAGTTCCAGGACAACCTCCAAAGAAATACAAAAAAACCCTGTTTGGAAACAAAAACAAAAGAGAGAGACAGAGACAGAGAGAAAGGATAGACCACTCCTGAGTTCCAGGACAACCAGAGTTACATGATGCTAGATAATTCTGTCTCAAAAAAGCAAGCAAAAGGGCTGGAAAGATGGCTCAGAGGTTAAGAGCACTGGCTGGTCTTCCAAAGGTCCTGTGTTCACTTCCTGGCAACCACATGGTAGCTCACAACCATCTGTAATGAGATCTGGTGCCCTCTTCTGATGTGAGGCACACATGGAGGCAGAAAGCTATATACATAATTAGTAAATAAATAAATCTTTAAAGAAATAAAATGGAATGCATGGAGAGCCGCCTGTCTCTGCCTCCGGAGACCGGGAGAATTAAAGCCTACACACCACACCAGATCCACATAGTGTTCTTAGTTCTGTGCGTTTGTTCATGAGCTCCCTGGCAGCTGAAATACAGCTCCTTCCACAACTCCAACAAATTCACTTAATTCAGAATATTCTGTAAGTAAAATTTATCTTAAATATTATTTCCCTCATCTCCTTCCTGAATTTTTTTTTTCCATTCAAAATGATCTATCAAGGCAATTGTGGTGTCCTGTGTCAGTAAAACTTAGCAGTGAAGATCACCCAAAATGGAGGGCAGCCTAGACTAGATAAGTTTTAAGTTCCAGATAAGCCTGGGCTACAGAGAGTGGCCTTGTCTCAAATAAGCAAAAACAAACAAACAAACAAACAAAAAACACAAATGATCTGTCAGGATGATCTAACCATAGCTTGTGCATGTGTGTGTACTCCAGCACTTGGAAGGCTACGATACGAGTATTGCCATAAGACCAGTCTGGTATAAACAGTTAATGCCAAGCCTATTTGGGCTGCAGAGTTAGATCCCGTCTCAAAAATAAAAAAAAAACAAAAATTAAAAACATGTTTTCGCTGCTAAGTGGTTGTATTTACAGTTCCACTATGATTACCCGTCTTCCTGGCTGACAGAAGCCACCTTAACACTACTTCTAAGGCAGGGACGCCTTTGTTTATATAAAAGTTAGCGAATCTCTATTTCTTTGGATGTGTAAAAGGCCGAATTCAAGGCCCTGGGCATGCTAAGGAAACACTTTACATACTGGCCACAACACACACACCCCGAAAAATGTTCTATTTACTCGCATAACTACCTTCTGAACTAATTTATTATTCCTTATCTTACAAACGAGGAGATCGAAGCTTACAGAAGCGGGAGGGAGAGGGAGCCGGAACTCCATCCGTTTCCAGGGCGTCTGGATCTTGCTCTTCTCTTGCGAGTTCACCCAGTTCTTGACCAGATCCAAGCTCCCTCACCAGGTCCCGGAGACCTCTCCTTTTGCAGACACGCTTTCCATGACTGGTCCCCAAATCGCCTAACGACCCAGGTTTAGTCTTCTCTTCTTCAGTGTTTACCAACTTTTTTATCCCACCAGATTTTCTTTCTTCCCAACGTCTGTACTAAAATCCCTCTACATATACCCCGAAATCCACACTCACCAAGCACCAATCCTTGGCATCTGACAACGCAACCGAAAAGCAACTCAAATCAGCGAGGGTCCACAAACTGCTACCAATCGCTCACGAGTTTAAGCGGCCTTTCGGGTTTCGCACCAATAGGACGGTTGTTCACCCTTCCCATCTTGCCTTGCGCCTCACCGGGCAGGGGTTCCCGGGAAGTGTAGTTTTTCACCTGCACATTGCATTGCGTGTAGGCAGGGAGTGTGTGTGTGTGTGTGGGGGGGGTGGTGGCAAGCATCTCTTGCCTGTTAGAACTCACCGGTTTTGATAACTTGGTCTAAACACGCTGAACTTTTTTTTTTAAATTTATTTATTAGTTCTAGTTAGGGAACAAAGAACTGTTTTTCTTTAATGAAACCTGTTGCATAAATGACATACAGAATCATGGAGCGGATCACAGCAATACTGTGATTGTCATTTGACATCACCTTCAATTTCATTTAAAGTGAGCCTAAGAAGTTTCACAAACCCTAAGGAGTTGTACTAGCAACACGTGGGAAGGGGAACAAAAAGGATCAGGAGTTCGAGGTCATCCTCGGCCAAATAGCAATTTGGAGCCCTTGGTTATCTAAGCAAAAGGCCAAAACAGGAGGAAGGGAGAGAGAAATTTCCATTACTTGGTGGCTTAGATGTGGGGTTCAATGTCTCCAGTCAAAGGGATTATACATTCAAATGTTATGTCCAGCCAGTCTCATTTAAACATCAGGAGGCTATATGAAGAGCTGAGAGTGGGGGCTCATATTGAGACTAATCTCAGGACTCTGGGGGGCGGGGTGTCTCAACAACAAAACAAAAGAGGATACAAAAAGGGATTAAGCTGGGTATTGGTGGCGCATGCCTTTAATCCCAGCACTCAGGAGGCAGAGACAGGTGGATCTCTGTGAGTTCGAAGCCAGCCTGGTCTACAGAACAAGTACAAGGACAGGCTCCAAAACTACCAGAGAAACCCTGTCTCAAAAAAACAAAACAAATAAATAATAAAATAATAAAAAAGGATTAATTCTGCAATGCATGGTAGCATTGCCTTAAACTTTAGAAAGCTTAAAATCTGAAGCTTTCGTGTCTATGTCAAGCTCAATAGCTCATAAGTGAAGCTACAAATTTCAAATGACATTGATTTTCTTAGTCATGTCATAGGAAAGGGTAAAGGGAAAGTTTATGGTTTTTTCTTCTTTGTTATTCTATTTTGATCAGTGCCTGTGAAATTTTTTGAGTCAGGCTGGAGTGGGGAGTATAGTTCAGAGGCAGAAAACTTGGGTTTGTTTTGTTTTGGGGGTTTTGTTGTTTGGGGTTTTTTTTTGGCAGTATAAATAGAATTTTTGTTTACTATTTAGTATTCATTATTCCTGAAGCCCTAAGTTCTGTCCCAGGTTGTATCCAACCAATGAGCAAACAAGCAAATAGCCATAAAAATGTGATTTGGGTCTGGGGTGATAGGCTATGTCTTTTTGTTTGAATTTTTATTTATTTTTTAAATTAATTTATTTTTTTTATTCTAGTTTGTTTTTAAAGACAGGGTTTCTCTGTGTTGCCTTCACTGTCCTAGAACTTGCTATATAGACCAATCTGGCCTCAACACAGAGATCTGCCTGCCTCTGCCTCCTATGTGCTGGGTTTATGCCTTGAATTCCAGAATTTGAGAAGCAGATGGAGGAGGATCTCCATGAGTTCCAGGGTAGCCTGGTCTACACAGCAAGTTCAAAGCTAGCCACTCTACACAGCAAGTTCAAAGCTAAATTATTGTCAAATAATTACCAGAGTTAGGTATTAATTTCACTCTAACACTGATAAAATAAATTACAGATAAATATATGGTACTTGAAATTTCTTTTTCCTCTAAAGTTTTTTTTTTTCCTTGCCATTTTTTATCCCAGGGTGGCCTTGCCCTAGATAGCTGAGGATGATCTTGTAATTATGACCCTCCTGTCTCTGTCATCTCCTACGTGCTGTGACTACAGGTACACTCTACCACTGGTTTTTGTGTTGCTGGGGATCAAACCCAAGGGCCCCAGCTCACTATGCACTTTGATTGCATGCTTAATGAAAAAAGTGTTTTGATAATTTTTAAGTTTTGAACTCCACTATTTCTTTTTATGTGAGTTTCCCTCATTATTTATTTAATTGAATGTATATGTATGTGGACTTGTGTAGAGGTCAGAAGACATCTTTCAGGAGTTCTCTCCTTCAACCATGTGGATTCCAGAAATCAAACTCAGATTCTTAGACTTGGTGGCAACCGTGCTTAACAGCTAGGCCCTTGCCATGTATTGACTGATTTGAAACTCAGTACGTATACCAGAAGGGCCTTGAAATTGTGGCATTCTTTCTACATCTCCTTCCCCAGCGTTGAGTTTATAGTCCTGTGCCACCACACGGGGTTTTTTCAAACTTAGACAATGTCTCCTGTAGCCTAACCAGGGCTCATATTCACATGCTAACTTTTTCTTTCTTTAGGGCTCGGGCTGCTCCTAACTATTTATCATTGTTGTGTTAATTTATGTGTGTGTTCAACACACACAAAACTAGGCATGCATGCAGAGGCCACAGGACTACTTTTGGGAGCGGGTTGTTGCCTTCCACCCTGAGACAAGCTTAAACGTATAAAGTAATTGTAGGATCATATAACCAGCAACAAGGTTTTCTGTCTGTTTTTTGAGACAGGGTTTCACACTGTACAGCCCTTGCTGATTGTGGAACTCCATGCGTGGGCAATCATGCCCAGCCTTACACGTAGAGGTTTCTGACAAGGTGACCAGTTTCATAGCAAACTGAAAGAAAAAAAAAGTTAGCAGAGCCGGGCGTTGGTGGTGCACGCCTTTAATCTCAGCACTCGGGAGGCAGAGGCAGGCGGATCTCTGTGAGTTCCAGGACAGCCTCCAAAAACAATAAACACTGTCTCGAAAAACCAAAAAAAAAAAAAAAAAGTTAAAACGAAAGAAAGAAAAAGTTAGGTGTTTTTAGGTCGTGTTTCCTCCTCAAATAAGACTGTTGAGGAAGATTTCCAATAGCTGGAAGAGCAAGGCCAGGAGCTGTACAGTTGCTCCCTGTGTGGTGAGAAGGCCGTTGGCAGCTGGTGCTAAGCGGCCAGCGTGACGACTGAGGTGGGCTGGGTCCAACCGGTCACGGAGAAGTCAGAGCGCCGAGTAAAAGAGACCAAATTAGGTTCGTCGTAAAAAAAAAACTAAAATAGAGACACCGAAATTCTGCCAAGAGTTGGTCACTTGTCCAAACGTCAGACAGCTGTGTGGAAAACAGGTCTCGGAGAAGAGAAAAGGCAGAGCAGCTGCCCTAGGCCCGCCTTGTTTTCGTGTCCCCGACACAAAGAGGAACAGGAACCTCCTCACCGGAAACAGAACCTCTGCTCTCTGAGGCATTACACATTCCTCCGCGCGCCGGAAGCGCGCGTTCCCCCTGGTGGGAGAGCTTCTCCCTCGCCTTCCCTCGAGGGAAGGTCGTGGAGCCTTCAGAGTTCACGCAGCCAGAGTGGACGGAGGGCGCAGAGCTTCGGCAGGGAGGCCGATAAAAAGCCACGCCAGGCCGTCCCGAAAGGGAGTCAGGCAACGGGGCCGGACTAGAAGTCGCGGCGGCGGCGGCGGCGGGATTCTGTTTCCTGCGGTGCGGACGGATTTGGCAGTACGTTAACTTCCGGAAGCGTCCTGGCCCTGAGAGGAAAAGCCCTGAAGGAAACAATAACAAACGACCGGAGGAAGCGCTCCTGAGTCTTGTGTGAGGAACGGTTCTCTCCCGGGAAGATGCTCTGCGGCCTCTGTGAGGGGACGTGAGAGGGCTTGGTGGCCG